GAAATGGCCATCTCACATGAGGAACATATGCCATGTGCAGTTGCTCCTAACATGGATTACAGACTCATCCTGATGGTGTCTGTTCATGACCTGGTGAAGTAGAATGCATCTGCCTTTGTCATTAAGACTGGGAGCACTACTCAGTGGCAGGCCGACTTAGCTCCAAAAGAAATGGCCGCCTCTGACATGAGGAACAGATGTCATGTGCAGCGGCTCCTAACAAGGAGTACAAACGCTGCCCATCCTGTATCCCTGGATCAGGAGCCCTTACAGGTTACTATCAGCCGGGCCAGCTGAGCCCAGGTTTTTTAGTGAGCTTGTTACTGTTCCCCCTCCTCCTTTTTCATCCGGGCTGGGCTTGGGACCGGGAAAGGCGGAGTTTTTTTCATATTTTAAAAACATGGAACCATATACATATTCACCCAATCAGGTGGCTTGGAAGATAAATCTCTTATCAGAACAAATAAAATCTTTGACCAAGTGCAGATAAGAACATACATTTTACATTGTCAAGAATAATTTGACAGTTTAACTTATTTCTTTCAATCATATTTCACCACTTGGCTTTGATGAGATTTCTTACAACGTTGTTGTAAAAGCGTTGTTACTGAAATGTCGCACACTATTTATTTATTTATTTAGATTTGGTCTTTATTACCTTGTGTTTATAATCCAAATTGTGCCTTATCATTCTTACAAATGTGTTGAAGCAATAAAATATATAGAAATAATCCTTATATATACTCATGGTGTCACTTGGTGACTAACCCAGGTTGTGACGACACCTGGGTTTCCCGGCCATTGATTCTCTCGGTGAAATAGGAACGATACTCCTCAAATATACACTCATGAAAATAAAGTGGAAAGTCTTTAATGTTGCCGGTCATCTATTTTTTTTTAAGAAGACAGAGGCAATTTTGTTCACACTTGGTTATCTCGTGTGTCTTCAATAAAAGTCACTGTAATATCTTACAGAGTTATTGTCTGAATCCCGATATACATGTTAAAAGGTACAACTTCCTTAAGTTTTGTCCATGAGTTTATATTGTAGAGGAAAATTAGGAGTAGCTATACTTTTCATCAAAATGGTTCATCCCCACACACAATCTAAAATAAATAATTTCCAAAAGAATGTATGTGTGTGGTACCTATGGTTTGCTTCTATGGTCAATTAGAAATATTGCATGTGAGTCAGTACCTGCCCTAGGCTGATATGGGCCATAGCCTCAAACCATGTTCTTTATATGGCCATTCCGGTTTTGCCACAGCTTGTTTCGAAGCTCTCTGTGTCCTATGATAGCCAACTTTTCATAAAACCAAATTCCATTCTAAAAATAATAAAAAGAACATACACCTAAAATGGTTTCATCCTAAATCTTATGAAATTTTTTTTTTTTTACAATCCTCAGAAAATTTAAAACAAGAACTGGGTTTGAATCTTGGTTCTATGGCATAAGCTTCTACCTACAGTCTTCTAATTTTTTTTTAATTCAACACCCAACAAGGGATCACAAATTGTGGTTGAAGTCTGTTTTGAATTTAAAAATAAAATTTAAATGACCTGATTGAGATTTTTGAAAGATGGGTGAATTAAGTTAGTGTAGTAATTAGTTAAGTAATTAACTATGTTGTTTTAAGATTGAAATCTTGATAGGTTCTTAAAGGAAGGGGATTTATTTAGTGGGTGGGAGGGTTCCAGTCCAGTTTGGTTCAGTCCTCAGATTGAATAGACATGGTGAATAGACTATGTGTTACATTACAGCGGTGTACAAGATTAACTTTAAAAAAAGAAGAAAAAAAAATGGTCTCGATGAGTCACTAACATCTGGCTTGCACTGGTCTCTGGTCAAAATAGGCCTCATTCGTTCTGCGGCAGAGATTGGATTAATATAGTTTTTAAAAGATGGTAATTAGAATGAATAATAATTTATTTTCCATGTATGCAAGCACAGGCCGTAAGAAATCAGTTTTAAAAGACACAAGGTAATAAGACCAAATCCAAATAAATAAATAGTGTGTGACGTTTCAGTAACAGCATTGTTACCATCTTCAGACAAAAGTACTGAATGATTCATTTGGTCTTATTACCTTGTGTTTATAATCTATAATCCAAATTGTGCCTTATCAGTATTAAAAGAGAGAAGAGGGGTGGGCAATATACACAAGGAATAAAATGATTATCTATATCCCCCCACATTAAATAATATAATTAATTGGATGATAAGGCACAATTTGGATCATAGATTAAAGCTACATGGTAATAAGATCAAATCCAAATAAATGAATAGTGGGTGATGTTTCAGTAACAATGTTGTTACCGAATTAGCTGGATATTTTTCTCCGCGGCTTATGTTTTTTGCCTTGTGTTGCTATATGAAGTGTGAATACATGACACAGGCTGCTGCTAGTTGAGCCTAGTATTTTATTCTTTGTTTTTGCTTGCAAATTTTCTCACATACCCAACTTCTATGGAAGTTCCCTTTCAAATTATCTTGAAAGATTGCCTTGTCAACATGAACATCAGTTCAAATTTCCTATAACATATGGTACATTAATGCATCATATTAATACAATGTAAAGAAGGCATCTCCTGACCACAAGCACATGTGCTTGTGGTCAGGAGATGCCTTCTTTATTTTTAATATCAACACCTGACCCACTTATCTTTTATTTTTTCTATTGTTTTTTTCATTAATACAATGGTAATCATATAATAAAATAAGACCTAATCCAAATAATTTAATTTGGATATTATTTGGATTAGGTCTTATTTTCTTGTATCTATAATCTAAATTGTGCTTTATCACAATGGTAAATTTTAGGTAAAAATTGGATGAAGGAAGTATTGGATTCTCAATATACATTTGGAATCTAGTCATAACAGTTTCCTTTGTAACAGAAACTTGGGTATTTTAAAATCCCCCAAGTTTTTAAGTCCCAAATGTTTCAACTATTGATATAACAACTTGGCGATTAAAACATAAACTCTTTGTCCCAAGAGAGAGAGAGATAGTAGAGATTTCAACTGTATTAGTGGAGCAAGAAAGAAAGTAAATTTTTTTCTTTTTTTAGCACACACAAAAAGTCAATTTATGCACAATAGGTGATGTTAAACTTTCTTTCTTATCTCCACACTGGGTGAAGTAGAATGCGTCTGCTTTTGTCATTAAAGACTGGGAGCACTACTCAGTGGCAGGCCGACTTATATCCAAAAGAAATGGCCGCCTCTGACATGAGGAACGGTACGCCATGTGCAGCCGCTCCTAACATGGAGTACAAACTCATCCTGTATCGTAGAAATTAAACTCTTAAAATCACGATCATTAAAACAATAATAAACAATAAGAGGAGCCTCTTGTGTAAATTTCTTTATTACCGCAAGCTTTCGAACAGAACGTTCTTCAACGGGCGTGGATAGTAAAAACGTACGTATTAGTACGTTTTTACTATCCACGCCCGTTGAAGAACGTTCTGTTCGAAAGCTTGCGGTAATAAAGAAATTTACACAAGAGGCTCCTCTTATTGTTTATTATTGTTTTAATCATCCTGTATCCTTGGATGAGGAGCCCTTACAGGGTACTATCAGCCGGGCCAGCTGAGCTCAGTTTTTTTTAGCGAGCTTGTTACTGCTCCCTCTCCTCCTTTTTCATCCGGGCCTGGGACCGGCAAAGGCGGAGTTTGGCCTCCCTGGGTGGGCCGGGTTTCTTTCTTCTCATATCTGAGAACTTGTTACCTGCACCCTCAACCCCACTTCATATTATCGGTGGTCTTGGATAGCTTCTCATGTAATTTGGCACTAGGGTAATTTTTTTTGTTTTCATTTTTTTACTATCAACTAGGATAAAGGTTTTTCAGTCATTTGTAAGGATGGATGATAAAGCACAATTTGGATTATAGATTATAATAAGAGAAAATAAGACCTAATCCAAATAATTTATTAGTGTGTGACGTTTCGGCAACAGCATTGTCACCATCATCAGACAAAAGAAAAATGAGAAAAAATATCACAGCAAGTTCTTAAATAGTGGTATTTTTTCTCATTTTTCTTTTGAATGATGATGGTGACAATGTTGTTGCCGAAATGTCACACACTAATAAATTATTTGGATTAGGTCTTATTTTCTTTTATTGTAAGGATGGATAAATGTGAACTGTCATTTTGTGGATATTGACTTGTAATTGCTGTGGAAGTACACCTGTGTATGTAGGGAGAGATAGAATGTTGTGGGTGGAACTCAGCCTGGATGAGAAACTGGTTTATATTGCTGCCACTTCCTCAGTCAGTCTAGAGGTTTCGCGGGATGTTGTTAGTCATGCCACTTCCTCCTGCTAACCTGGGGTTAGGAACCTTTGGTGTGGAAAAACATCTCTTTTTTCTTTCTCTCTCATTAGACCTAGATACAGTAGAACTACCTACCTATTAATGACAACACCTAATTACAGAACCAAAGTGTCCTTTAGAGAGAGTCGTCCTCATACCAGAGAGTTGCTAAATAGTAAAAATGGTAATTTTGCAAATAAAAACTGTCCTTTGTGGAGAGATGTCCGCTAAAAGGAAGGTTATACTGTATTTTAAAATTTGGGGAGTATTTGAAACTTTAAAAAAGATACGCTCATGACTAACTCTTCTGGAATGTATGGGAGCTTCAAAACAGGACCTATATTTCAATTCTACCAATGATTGTAAATTTGATCTATGATTTGATTCTCCATGACCTTGTGTTGGCTTCCGTAGGCGTTTCTTATTGGGAAAAAGAAAGAGAGGATTCCATAAAATAATTTGAAAGCATTTATTAATAAAAAATACTAATAACAACAACAAAAGGGAGGCGCACATACATCTATCAGAGAGCACTGTCGTCATCCGGATATTCCTTCTACTGGGGAGCTCGGCTTCTATATTCTGTGCATTATATTCTGTTTAACTGCGGCTCTCTGGTCGGGATGGCGCCTACACTTGTATAAAATATACAAAGGGATAATAATAAAAACAAACATGTGCAGAGATAGGTTAGTTGGGAGAATGTTAGATTGAAGATTTAAAGGTCCCAGGTTAGATCCCGAGTTTCGGTATCTCTTTTTGGCTTTCACTCGGAAGGCCTGGGTTTGATTCCCAGTGTGGGAATTTTTTTGAGCCCTGGCAGAAGCTTTCATGGCTATGATACCTTGGCTCTCTCAATAATAAAAACATGGCCTGTTGTATGTTGAATTTGTTGGATAAGAAAACAAATAAAACATTGAGGTGATGTTGAACTTCTTCCTTCTTGGAGAGATGTAAATGCCCTGGTATATCTTCTTCTTTCTTATCTTCACTCAATCATACTAAGGTATCAAGTCTGTAGAGTTTGTTGATGGTGTCTGATGGGGATTAGTAGAGCTTACCAATAGATGAGCCAATACAGTCAATGATGTGGTGCCCTGGTGTGTCTTCTTCTTTCTTATCTTTACTCAATCATATTAGGGTATCAAGCCTGTAGATCTTGTTGATTGTGGCTGGGGATGAGTAGAGCTCATCAATAGATGAGCCAATAGTCAATGATGTGGTGCCCTGATGTGTTTTCTTCTTTCTTATCTTCACTCAATCATATTAAGGTATCAAGCCTGTAGAACTTGTTAATAATGTCTGCTGGGGATGAGTAGAGCTCATCAATAGATGAGCCAATAGTCAATGATGTGGTGCCCTGGTGTGTCTTCTTCTTATATTCGCTCAATCATGTTAGGGTATCAAGCCTGTAGAGCTTATTGATAGTGTCTGTGGCTGGGGCTGAGTAGAGCTCAATCAACAGATGAGCCAATTCAGTCAATGCTATGGTGCCCTGGTATATCTTCTTCTTTCTTTTCTTCACTCAATCATATTAGGGTATCAAGCCTGTAGATCTTGTTGATGGTGTCTGTGGCTGGGGCTGAGTAGAGCTCAATCAACAGATGAGCCAATTCAGTCAATGCTATGGTGCCCTGGTATATCTTCTTCTTTCTTTTCTTCACTCAATCATATTAGGGTATCAAGCTTGTGGAGCTTCACATGATGTCTGTGACTGGGGATGAGTAGAGCTCATCAATAGATGAGCCTATACAGTCAATGACGTGGTGCCCTGATTTGTCTTCTTCTTTCTTATCTTCACTCAATCATATTATGGTATCAAGCCTGTAGAGCTTGTTGATGGTGTCTGTGGCTGGGGGTGAGTAGAGCTCATCAATAGATGAGCCAATACAGTCAATGATGTAATGCCCTAGTGTGTCTTCTTCTTTCTGTGGAGTTTGTTGATGGTGTCTATGGCTGGGGATGAGTAGAGCTCATCAATAGATGAGCCAATACAGTCAATGATGTAATGCCTTAGTGTGTCTTCTTCTTTCTGTGGAGTTTGTTGATGGTGTCTATGGCTGGGGGTGAGTAGAGCTCATCAATAGATGAGCCAATACAGTCAATGATGTAATGCCCTAGTGTGTCTTCTTCTTTCTGTGGAGTTTGTTGATGGTGTCTATGGCTGGGGATGAGTAGAGCTCATCAATAGATGAGCCAAAACAGTCAATGACGTGGTGCCCTGGTGTGTGGACAGCTCTGGTCACCACACAGATCTTCACCCGGGAGAGCCCCCATATCCTCTATGAAAATAGGACTCAGGTGAGTGCAGTAACCTAGATTTTTGATCCAACTTTTTCTACGTCGGTGTTGTTGTTTGGGCAGATCATCCGCCACTTCCTAGGCCTCCTGGTCCTCTCCCTGATCACCATCCTGGCAGCCGTGCTCCTGCCCCTGGGCCTGCTGGGATATTGCTGCTGTTGCCGGTCAGGCAAGAAGCCGGCCCTGTCCCGGAGACAGTCATTCTACCGCAGAGTGGTGTACGGCACCTTCCTGCTGGTGATTGTTCTAGTCATGATGTAAGTCACTCAAACCTCCTCTGCTTTCTTTTTTCTTAAATTCAACATCCCCAACTCCCTAGGGTGTCACGCAGGATAATCTGACCTTCATTCAAAATTTAGGAAATAGAAGGAAGAGACGAAGACCTTCTTCTTTCTTATCTCCACTCAATCATATTAAGGTATCAAGCTTGTAGAGCTTGTTGATGGTGTCTGCCGGGGATGAGTAGAGCTCATCAATGGATGAGTCAATACAGTCAATAATGTGTTTTGGGGTTGCATGTTGAGAATTGCACTTAGTACATAGTGGGAAAACCTTGCAACCACCATTCTGGAAAGTCATTGTCCATAGATGACCAGATTTAAGTCTGGAAATCAAAGAGAGGAAGACCTGCAATGAGCTAGCTAGGGGTGGGGGTGAGGGTAATATTGGATTAATTATTCAAAAAATATTTCTTTTATAAGGAGCCATTGACCTCTTGAACACCTGAATTATTCTCCAGCCTCTTCACCCCAATGGTTTTAAAATTCATTATCTCTCCTTTGAAGGTTTCAGTATCAAGTTGGCATCACTCACTTTGGGAACTTCCCTTTTTATGTAAGTTTACAGTAGAATCTCTATGAGAGGACACCTCTCTACAACGGACAGTTTTCATCACCAAAATTTTATTTTTACCAATGAGTGCAGCTTCCTTAAGGAAAGGGAGTGCAACTCCCTTTGGCTATGCAACTAGGAATTGTCCTTTACCTAGAGGTAGTTCTATTGTACTGTAATAAATGCTTCTATTCCACAGTAAAAAAAAAAAAAACACCAAAGGAGCATCTAAGAAACATAGGATATTTTTTTGCAAAAAAAGTTTTGATGGAGGTTAGCTCGCAGGACTATACTAAGAGGATATGGTAGTTGCATAACTTGGGTGGGTGCAATTGTGAAGTCAGTTTGCCAGGAAACATTGCATACCTCCCTGGCTGGAAACATTGCATACCTCCCTAGCTGGAAACAGGTTGTTTCTAGGAAGGAGAAGAAGTTTACAGAATCTTATCTCCAGCAGGCTGCTGGTGGGTGATAAGATGTCTGTGTACACTTTCTTTTATTTCTAGCTAGCTCCCACTTCCTCGTTGTTGCTACTTACTCTGGGTCCTCTGGGGATCAAAAAATGCATCAACCCAACAGAATATTAATGTGGGCTTCTGGTTGACTTATATAGTCTCTTTATGATAAAGCACAATTTGGTTTATAGATACATTTATTCTTTGGTCTGATGATGGTAACACATTTATTATTTTGTCTGATGATGGTAACACATTTATTCTTTGGTCTGATGATGGTAACACATTTATTATTTTGTCTGATGATGGTAACACATTTATTCTTTTGTCTGATGATGGTAACATATTTATTCTTTTGTCTGATGATGGTAACACATTTATTCTTTTGTCTGATGATGGTAACACATTTTATTCTTTTGTCTGATGATGGTAACACATTTTATTCTTTTGTCTGATGATGGTAACACATTTTATTCTTTTGTCTGATGATGGTAAATATTCATTCTTTTGTCTGATGATGGTAACACATTCATTATTTTGTCTGATGATGGTAAATATTTATTCTTTTGTCTGATGATGGTAAATATTTATTCTTTTGTCTGATGATGGTAACACATTTTATTCTTTTGTCTGATGATGGTAACACATTTATTCTTTTGTCTGATGATGGTAACACATTCATTCTTTTATCTGATGATGGTAACACATTTATTCTTTTGTCTGATGATGGTAACACATTTTATTCTTTTGTCTGATGATGGTAACACATTCATTCTTTTGTCTGATGATGGTAACACATTCATTCTTTTGTCTGATGATGGTAACACATTTTATTCTTTTGTCTGATGATGGTAACACATTCATTCTTTTGTCTGATGATGGTAACACATTTATTCTTTTGTCTGATGATGGTAACACATTTTATTCTTTTGTCTGATGATGGTAACACATTTATTCTTTTGTCTGATGATGGTAACATATTTTATTCTTTTGTCTGATGATGGTAACACATTCATTCTTTTGTCTGATGATGGTAACATATTTTATTCTTTTGTCTGATGATGGTAACACATTCATTCTTTTGTCTGATGATGGTAACAATGTTGTTACTGAAACGTCACACACAAATTATTTGGATTAGGTCTTATTTTCTTGTATATATTATTTTTATGTAAAGTTGTTTTTTTAGGTGGGAATTTGATGAATAGTTGAATTATAGGAACACAGCTAACTATACCGTGTAAATGCAACAGATAGTGTGTGCTTCCGGTTGAGTTATATAGTCTGTTTAATGCAAAGTTGTTTTTTTTTTAGGTGGGAATTTGATGAATAGTTGAATTTTAGAAACAGAGCTAACTGCACAAGTGCAAAGTCTGATAACTTTGCCCATATGTAGGATGTGCTAAAGTTATATGTTTGTTATAAACAATGTCTCTTCTCTGATTTCTCTTTGTCTACCACTATGTACTTCTTGGAATAGACGGAATTAGTGTTGTTAGAACAGCGAACTGCTTTCACATGTGTAGGCATGTGGTGCACTTACAGTGAAAAAGCAGTCGCTAACTGCCCACCATGATTATCATGGCCTGTACCACGTGTACTAGGGATAAGGAAAAAAAAAAACAAGCAATGTATCTTCTCTGATTTTCCTTTGTCTACCACTATGTACTTCCTGGTATAGACAGAATTAGTGTTGGGGTAGAGTAGACAGAAATATCAACTAGGAGCTTGTTTAGTGTATTGAACATCATACAATTGTTATTTGCATATCTTGCCTTCATCCCTAGATGCATATATTACATCTATTATATAAGAAATGAAAGTATTAAAGCACGAATTTTTATTTTACACATAAAAATAATCTTCTACTGTCTTTACTGCGATGAAAAATATTGAAGGGTATTGGCTATTCAGTGGGGAACCCTCCCAGCAATTTCACCAATTTAATCTTCCAGGTAGCCTTTTTTTAGAGTTCTAATACTGTATTGGACAATTCTGCTTTCAGCGCAGTAAGAAAGTAGGAGTTAGGCTGGAAAGTGGAAGGCTGGTTGAACCATTGGTTTTCGACCACTACGACCCGGGTTCGATTCCCGCATTGGACACTTTTTTCTGATATAAAAAAAAAAAAAATTCTCCAATGACACCCGATTCTTGCAAAAGTCCAA